ACTTTGCGCTATCTGGTTTATCTTGCCTTTGAAGGATTCTAACTTGAGTTTCGGAGCCCTTACGCCGGGTTCTCCCCGGAGCTTCTCTTCTCCTTCCGTCTCAGGTCCCTGTTACTCAGTTCAGAGGCAAGATCGTTGACAGCTAAGACCGGCCAGATTGTGCACCATCACCTTTTTTCACTTATTAAATTTACATGTTGGTGCTTAAATCTCTCATTTTATCTCCTTCTCTTGACTGGAATTTCAATATTTCAATCTTTTTTTTTTTTTTTAATTCTTCTCTATTCATCGTTTGATCTTCTCTTTCATCCCGCTATTTCGGTTCATTGTTTCTCCAACATTCATTGTTTTTCAACAAGAATATCTCTTCTCTGAGAATTGATGGAAAATGTGGTGTTGATGGCCTCTATTACTGTACTCCATTTTTTTTAACTTTCTTTTATGGAGTATTTGAAGGGTTGAAAGCATCAATTAGACCATATTATCAGTTCTTTAATGGTATATTATTATTTTTGACGTAAAATCTAAATTTTCTTTAAATTCTTTTCCTTTCTTCTGGTTGTCGGGTTTTCTCGTGGAGTGGTCGTGGAAATCAGGAGATATTTGATGGAAACACAGAGTTGTTGTTACTTGTTAGATGGGGTTAGTTTGCTGAAGATTTTACGATTTTGTTTCTGTTCTGCTTAAAGATTTCAGAAAACTTAAGAGAGTGTCAAGTTCAGCTCACGAAGTGCAACTGTGCAAGAGATTCCCGACTCGGACTGGTTCGTGGTTCCACAAACCCAGGGTTTTATTGATCATTTTACATGGAATGCAAGAGGTTGTTTTAGTAATTGAGCAATCATCATATCAATGCCCTTATCCAGGTCTACCATGGGCACGTGTCACCTATACATCGAATCACCAACAGAAGATCTGATTCAGGGACACAACACTCCCACGGGGCAGAGTGGTAAACGACGAAAATGAAAATCAGAATCTTTATAATTTATATATACCGAATTTAAATTAAAAAAATAGAAATCAATCAGCACTAATTACTTCTTAAGTGCCGTCCTGTCTCCTCCTACGATTTTCAGTCTAAAACGTTTCTGCAGCGGGTTCTTCTCCATTTCAGATTTCGTTTCTCAAGAAGCTTCGCCAAGCAACCATGGCAGATAACTCAATTAGTGGCAAGACTGATCAGGTATATTTCTTTAGTAGATTTTACTACTGGTAATATTGATATCCTTTTCTTACTCCCGTTTGAATTGAGTCTAAATAATACGAGTCTTTTTAGATATTTTAATGCTCATGCTTCATGACTTTTTGATTTGTGAATACTTTCTTGAATCAGATTTCTTCCCTAGACGCTGCAAAACCCAGAAATCTCTCTTTCTTCCTCCTCAATTAGTTTTTAGTTTTAACTTCATCTCCGAATGGCTTCTTGATTTTAATTTAAAGCGAAACAGTAGCTGATGTACACATTATCTTGTTATTTTTAATCATTTCAATGGTGTTCATAGAAGATCGATAGTTTGAAAATTGAAATGTCATAGTTAAGTCAAAAACAATTAAACTAAGATAATCTAAGGTTGCTTTTCTGACATAATTGTTTTTGATACTTTAGTTGTAAGCTCATTATCTCTGTTAATGGTCTTATTAGTTAGATGTACGGAGCTTTCAGTTTCTTATGTTCGTGTGTATTGCTTCAAGATGTACTCACTCGGGTTACTGAAGCACCATTTGGGATGTGCTCCCAGCCTACAACAGAGTCCGTAGAGTTTTAATTTACCTAACTTATGGACATAGTATGAATTAATAGAAGTACAAAAACAGAGCATTTCTTATTTGAGGTGCAATATTTTATTTTCCTTTTCCTTTTTTCTTTGTTGCGGCTTTTTCTTGGGAAGTTGATAAAGCATATTCAATATTTTATTTTTAATTTAATAATTTAAGGTTATGTAGGAGAACATGAAATCCTAGTAGTGTGTGAAAGTGGAAGAGTCTATTAGATGATCTAATTACTTTATGCATATTATGGGTTATTCTTGGAAAGTTGGTTTGGTTTCCTTTGTTTTTGTGATGTCGGCTTTGTGCAATTCCATATGGTATTCAAATACCTTTCTCCCTTGGCTTCACAGATTTTGGTTGAAGAGCACTCATATGTCAGGACACTAATTCTAAATAGGCCTCGACAATTGAATGCCCTCTCACTTCAAATGGTATGTGGGATTCTCTTTCTTTTTCCTGAATCCTCTGTTTCTAAATGATTTTCTTATAGAAGATAACAAACTCCAAATTAATTGCCACTGCAATACAAAAACAGCATATTCTTGGGTTTGTAAAACTTGCTAACTGTTTTTTTGTTAAGATAACAATCCTATGTATGTATGTATGTATGTATGTATGTATTGGATTGGATCCAATCCAAACTGAATGAAATATCAAAAATTATATAAAAACACTTTTAGCATTGAAAAAACACTTTGATAAAAATATTTTCATAAAAGTGCTTTTACAAAATCACTTTATTGAAAGTACTTCGGAAAAGTGCTTTTGTAGAAGTGCTTCCATAAAAGTGTAAAAGCACTTTTTGAAAAGTACTTCCGTAGACTTATGAAAGTACTTTTGTAGAAGTGCTTTTGTAAAAGTACTTTTATAAAAGTACTTTCACAAAAGTGTTTTCGTAAAAGTACTTTTATAAAAGTACTTTTGTAGAAGTGTTTTTATAAAAGTGCTTTCATAAAAGCACTTTTGTGAAAGTGCTTTTGTATAAGTTCTTTCATAAAAGTGATTTTCTAAAAGTGCTTCCATAAAAGTGCTTTCGTAAAAGTGCTTTTATAAATGTACTATAAAAGTGTTTTCGTAAAAGTACTTCTGTAAGTTTTTTTCGTAAAAGTGATTTCATAAAAGTGCTTTCATGTAAAAATACTTTTGTAGAAATGCTTTCGTAAAAGTACTTCTGTAAAAGTGCTTTTATAAAACTATTTCTGTGAAAGTGCTTTCATAAAAGTACTTTTGTAAAAGTATTTTTATAAAAATGCTTTCGTAAAAGTATTTTTATAAAAGTGCTTTCGTAAAAATACTTTTCATAAAATTACTTTTATAAAAGTGCTTTTATAAAAATATTTTCGTAAAAGTACTTTCATAAAAGTACTTTCATAAAAGTAATTTTATGTTGTTTTCACTTTTGATTGATTTCAAATTGGACAAGGGTTTGGCCTCATGATCGGATCATTGGAAATTTGGTTTAGGTCTAATTCAAACCAATAAGAATATGGACCAATTTATTTTGRATTGGCCCAATCCAATAATTATAATGGACTGTCCAAATCCGATTTGATAAGGTTTGAATCGGATTGGATCMAAACCAAAACCGGTTGACTGACACCCCTATATATGTATATATATATTATACATATATATATATGTATGTATGTATGTATGTATGTATGTATGTATGTATGTATGTATGTATGTATAGGAGGTGTACAAATACAAAACAGGGATCAGACCCACTTCTGCCCTTGTAGAATCAGCTTTACCAATCGGTCCACTGTACACCCAGCAGATGTTCCCGTTTTCATCTCTTAAAGCTCTCCCAATGCCAGCAATACCAGGGCTAACCTGAAGCACTTCCGTCAAAGCTTAGAGTCCAAGCTCCTTTCCTTCTTAGAGATGGAACCCTGGAGATGTGTGGGGAGGATGGGGAGGAGAGCAGAAAGTTAACAGAATTCCTGTTAAGATCATTAACATTGATTCCTCTGAACACGTCTCAGATAGAAGCCCACAAATTGCAGTGATAATTGATATGAGAGATCAGCTCATTCTTGCATTTAGCCTTGTTTTCAAACAGACAGTTATTCCTTTCCTCCCAAATTCCCCAAAGCACAACATGCAACACTATTTTCCGGTATACCTTACCTCTCCTACTCAAACTTTTTCCTTGCCTCTAAAAAATCAGGTACTGAAGGCGATTGGAGATACCCAACTGTACCCAGCTAGCTGCAAGAAGTAATTCTAAATGTTTCCGGTTTCTTGGCAATGCATGAAAAGGTGATTAGCTGACTCCCCCTCTCCAAAGCAGAGGATGCAAACACGAGGAGGGATATAAATTCTACCAAGATTCTTCTTTTGCAGTAACTCACAGGTGTTTACTCGTTGTAGATAGGCCTCCCAAATGAAGAAACACACTCTTGAGCGGACGAATTTGCACCAGACCTTCTTGAAAGGGAAAACACAGTCTCATTCTCCTGCAACTAGAGCCTCAAAGAAAGACTTGGAAGAGAACTCGCTAATGGGGTGGGGTTTCCAAGCATGGGAGTAAGGACTTTGGGGAAATGTAGGCTTCTATGAGAGAGAGGAGGAGATCAGTTAGCTCACTGATCTCTGAATCCCTTAAGGGTCTTCTAAGACTCAAATTATGTTTCTTTCAGTGGGAGAAGTGGGGAGACACTGGGAGATGGTTTCTTCTTTGTTTAGGGTGAGATTGAAGAGTCTAGGGTAAGAATCTGCCAGAGTGGAATTGCCCCACCACAGGTCTGTCCAGAACTTTATTCTAGTGCAGTTAGCCACTCTAACTCTTAAGAAAGAAAAGAAAAACTATTGTAAGTGGAAGTGATACCTTTCCAAGGATTTGAGGAAGCTAATCGGTTTGAATGGAGATTGCAGTCCCAACCGTTTGCGTTTAACCCATATTTGCTGGTGATGATAGCTGCCCAAAGGGAATTTGTTTCAATAGGGAATCACCAGTTCTCTACAGCCATTTTCCAAGGAGAGAATTGTTCTTCTCTTTTAGGTGTCTGATCCCCAACCCTCCAACCTCTTTAGGCTTGCAGATCTCAATCCAATTTACTAGATGACTTTTTTTCTCACCTCTACTTTCCCATAGGAAGTCTCTTTGAAGTTTCTTAGTCTCTAATATGGTTTTGGTAGGGATCTGGAATACTAAAAGGAAGTAGATGGGCAGATTTGCAAGGGAAGCCTTAATAAGAGTAAGTCTACCCCCTTTAGATAGATAACAATGTTTCCAAGAGGCTAACTTCTTTTCATATTTTTCCACTACCATTTTCTAGAAGCTTGGACTTTTTGGGTTCCCACCAAGAGGCAGCCCCAAATAAGAAAGAGGGAGGTTTTCCACTCGACAATTCAGAATTACCCTGAAACTTTCCAAAAGGGTTTCTTCAACTGAGTTTATAGTCACTAGACTACTTTTTGAGTAATTTACCCTCAATAACCAGTAACTGATTCGAAGCAATGTTCACATTAGTGATATTTCCCAAATTAGCCTCCAGAAACAGGATAACATCGTCTACAAATTGGAGATGGGAGACATTAAGAGTATCTCTTCCTACCTCAAAAGACTCTTTCTCCATTTATATCAAAGACTACTTCCCTTATTTCTTGCTCCTCGAAATCTCTTTCAAGCCAAGACCTCTTATCATTTGCTAGAGCCGGCCCGTCCCAACTTCTTAAAGTAAACTTTCTTACACTTTCCTTAGAGTAAAGCTCTTTGAAGTAATTAAGAAAAGCCTCTGTGATTTCATCTATATCCTCCACCTCCCTTTGGTCCACTTTGATTTTTGGGATGAAAATTTTACTACGCCTGCCCGAAGCATAATTACGGTAAAATTTTGAGTTATTATCACCTTCCTTTAACCGTCTAACCCTTGACCCCTGCCTCCAAAAGATTTCTTCTGGCCACCTTTTCCCAGGAACTTCTTAAACCTTTTCTTCTCTTTCTTCCTTCTCCATCCAGGGTGCCTAATTGTTCCTTTTGGTCTAGGTCTTCCAGCTCCAAGAGGATAACACATTTTTTCTCTGCAAAGGTTTTGAACTCTTCTCTATTCTAGAAGTGCAATATGATTTTATCCAGGTTTTCTGGATTTATCGACAGTTCAGTCATGTAGGTTAGTCTCAATTCACATCACCACTTATATGATTTCTTCACATCTAAATCAATACCTCACCTTTAATGGGAAAAAATCTTTGGAAATGCATATTGTTGTCCTGCATAATTATATTGTTGTTGTGTGCATGCAGCCTAATATTTGTTGTATATCTGTACGGCATATATCTATTTTGTAATTAATACACTTATCCCCATGATAATGACAATAAAATTTTTCCCTTGGTAGCTAGGAACAATAATGTGAAACTATGGATACAGACACAGTGATGGATACATGGGGATACAACTCTCCATTTCCTAAAATCCAGACATGGATACAAGTATTGGTATCCTATGCAAGTTTTTGTTGTTTCATAAATAACAGAACAAAATGCATTCAGAACAGAACTGGACTATCCAAAATGCTGGACAGTAAGTACAAATACAAGAGCCCCAAGGCCTCAGAGTTTTCTAGAATGAATATTACAAGTTTATCCCTGGTCCAGGCACTCCTAGTGCAATATCTTCCCTATTAACCCCTGTTTTGAGATTATGAGTGCGGAAGAATTTGCAGATCTAGGTATCCACTTGAATGAGCTATTCATATTAATATCTAGAGGCTGCATCTGTCTAACTAGGGCCTTGTACCTCCATGGAATGCTCTCTCCTTTTCTCATCCAGCTCAAAAGAACTTGACAGTCCCCTTCCACAATTAAATCTGTCCATCCATGCATAGCTACCAATTTTAGGCCTTGTAAAGAGCTATGGTTTTTGCCTTTAGAGAGAGATTATACCCAATTGACCCTGAATAGCTGAGTTGGATGTTACTGCTTCACCAACAATGCTTTCTCCCCAAAGTTGGATTCTTAGTTTCCTACCAGGAGAAACACTGTTCTAACATCTCATAAAAGGATCTACATGAAGAAAAGTCGTTTACCCAAAACATGTTTTGTGAACTTTTGTGTTAAACTTGTAATTGGGGAACACCCCCATAAAGAACCTTCAATGGAGGGCTGAAATTTCCCCCGGAGGACAAAGGCATCCATCCTCTTTAGATGGCCTTAAACTGCATATTTATGGTTATACTAGTAACAATTCCTTGTTCCACAAGAAACCCCCAAATAATAGTAATGCTACTTTTCAAATAGAAAACTACCCAAAAGAGACCATTACTTGCCTTTATTGAAGGTACCCAAATCTTAATGCTTTCTTGGTTGGGCAACTGACTAAGCCTTTTAATGTTTATGTTTGTAAGTATGTTGACAAATGCCCAAGGATTTCTTCTGCTAAATATGCTGCAACACTACTTTTGTAATGCCTTTTCCAACTTCCATTCCCCTGGCACCCTTACTTTAGTTTGGCACTGAACTTGTTCTAAAATGATTGTTGTGGGTTAGGAGATATGATACTACTCTATTTTGGTGGTGTTTTCTAGGTTTCACATTTGCTGGAGCTCTTTACAATTTATGAGGAGGATCGTAATGTCAAGTTGTTGATTTTGAAGGTGTGTATCAGCCATAGACAAAAATAAATAACAAAGACAATAAAGGAAACCCTATTATCATCTTTGAAATGTTGAAAATGATGACAATTTGACAATACTGCATGATTTGATGAGTGAAATTGGTTTTGTCTGTGTATGTTATTAGCTTACCCATATACTACAAGGATGCAGCATGGATACATTACTTACACTAAAAATGGAAGTATTTGAATGACACCTGCTTTTTAGTATCTGGCTACATGGTTTAAGTTCTCTAATATTTGTCATGTATTTCTCCATAGTTGTCAATGCAAGACACCACCTAGGCAACAAGGCACCCTTGGATGGTTGTCTCAATCAACACACCAAATTTTCATTTTGTTGGTTTATAATATTTTTATAATTCTTTTTTCATTTTTTGGGAACAAAGGTAAAGTATTGTATTAATCTATAGCAAAACAAAATTTACAAATCCCTGCACAAGAAGGCACTATACAGACCCAAGACCTTTCTATACATTGGTTCCTGTATGCATAGGTACAAAAAGTGAGCTAGAAACAAAAAAGGGATTATATGAGTAGTCGATCAAGACTACAATCAGTCTTGAATTCGAAAGAAAAAGAAGTTTCAAAAGAAAAGAAGAAGAAGAGAGGGAGAAAAGAAGAAGCACACGAAGGGATTTAGAAAAGAGAGAGAGGGTTGATCTATTGATCTGCCGACCCATTCTTAATATTTATATATGTTGACTAATTGTAAAAGGGCTGAATTGCCCTTATTGCTTACATGGCAAATAAACTAATAATAAAGCTGAAATAACAAGCTGTAACAACAAACTGAAATAACTACCAATAACTACCAACTAACACTGACATAACTAACAAAAAATATGCTATGCTGCCATACGAACACAGTGGGGACCATAGCAGTGGGGCCCACTTCAGTGTTCTCTACACTCTCCCTCAAGTTGGGAATAGATATTTGTCATTCCCAACTTGCATAGGTCTGCCTCTAACTTCTTCCTTGGAACAACCTTGGTGAGAAGATCTGTGAGCTGCATGCTGGAGGTGATATACGGGAGACACACTTCTTGAGATGAAACCCTTTCTCTGACA